GGTGCTGGCAGGCTTGCACCTGGCATGGGCACCGTAGCCAGCCCGTGCCCCTTTAAGGGGTCCAGGGCCGGGAGGGGGGCATAGAGTTTCCCTGGTGTTGGCCAGAGTGGCCACCAGGGAAACCTGGGGAGGGCTAGCCTCCCACTAGTTCGAATTAAGGGGCTACACACCCCTTAATTCGAACTAGTAAGTTCGAACTAGGCTTAATCCTCGTAAAATGAGGTTTTCCTAGTTCGAACTAAGCGCTCCGCTAGTTCGATTCAAATTCAAACTAGCGGAGCGCTAGTGTAGCGGCTATGAATGTTAGTTCGAACTAACGTCCGTTAGTTCGAACTAACATTGTAGTGTAGACATACCCCCACTGATTTAAATCAAGTGCAAGTCCCTTAAAGTTACCTCAGTGTAAATTAGACTAGACTCAGACCATCTCTCTCTCTCAAAACTTGATATTCCAGAGTCATGGCAGCTCTGGCCCTGATCCAGCAAAAGCACTTACAGAAGTACACAACTTTAAAGCATATAATATAGTAATGCAGTCACAGGTAGACAGAGTTTACCCACTTCTCTTTTGGGGAATACGGGGCTTAGTTGAAGCCTTTGCTCACTTTTCATTTTTTTTAAACACCACTCCACTGTTCATAGGTGGCGACCTATATGGGCCTGTGGTGCCTGTACTCTACTAATATTCATAGGCCTATCCCTCTTCCCCAGCCTAGTCCAGCCCACCTCCCCTGGAGCATCCTGGTACCCTATGCAGTGGCTGGCTGCTGTTCCCAGCCTCCCTCCTGCAACCAAAGCCACAAGCCTTCTCCATCCACTGAGAGGCCCTGAGCGCCCAGCGGAGCCACAGCCATGCCACACTGACCTCACTGCTCTGAATCAAGAGGTGTGACTTTTCACCAAAGACACTTTTGATATGCCCCATGTAGGTTTGGGGGTATTTGTTACTCTGTTCCCTCAGTCACCCCAGAACCTGCCTGGGGTTTATCAAAAGTATCTTTGAATGATGAGATGCTTTTCCGCAGAGCTACCATGGCTGAGGCTGGGACCCCTGGCCCTCTTAAATTGGCTGTGCCTCTGGGCATTTGGCCCTTTCACTCTCCCCCATTAGTGGTCCAGGCCAGTGTGGAGTGGAGGAATTGTTCCCTAGAGCTCACTGTCACTGGCAGGGAGAGGGCTGGAGGGAGTGCTCCTATGGTCCCAGCCCCAGGGCAGTCTGCATGTACCCCAGACTGCTTATCCTCAGTCCCATGCCTGCACATGCACCATGAGCCAGAGTCCTCACCTTTGTACCACAACCTTCTGCCCTAGCCCTGGAGCCCTTCCTGAACCCCGAATCCCTGATCCCACCCTGCAGCCCTCATATCCTCACCTCAATGCTCTGCCCTGAGCCCCACTCACACTCCAGCCCTCCAAGCCCAACCCCACTGCACCCAAGCCCCACCCTGCAGCCTTCACCCCTCCATTGGATTACTAGGCAGGTGTCGGGGGAGTGGATTGTGTACCTGTTCTGGGCACCACCAATTATACAAACCTGCTGCCCTTTCAGTCATCGCATAAACAGCCCCACTCATACATACCCTTAAAGTGAAGCACAAACCTAGGTGCTTTGCTGGATTGTGGCCGGAGCGCCAAACACCTCACGGGTGTGTCTAAACTACATGGCTCCATTAATGGAGCCATGTAGATTAGGCTGATCGGCAAAGGGAAATGAAGCCGCGCACTAGTCTGGGCGCTCCTGCCCTTTATCGACCTCCCTGTTATGCCTCGTAGGATGAGGTTTACTGGGGAGGTCGAAAAAAGGCTTTCATGACGGCGCGGGAGCGTCCAGACTAGCGCGCTGAGCTGGCAAACAGCTGATCAGCTGTTTGTCGGCTCAGCGTGGCAGCCATTTAAATTTAAATGAAGCCATGATTATTTAAATTGCGGCTTCATTTCCCTTTGCTGAACAAACAAATCTACATGGCTCTGTTGACGGAGCCATGTAGTTTAGACATACCCCACATGATCACACCTGATTAGTGCAATGTGGACTTATGCTTCTTGTCTAAAGCTAGTGTCTTTATCCACATCAGTGGAATCTACCAAACAATCCCTGCTTTATGACATAACATCAATATCCCAAACTCCTCCCTTTGGTCCTCCATTTTCTGTGGGACTGCAGTTTCCCAGGTGATAATATTTCTTCCCCCACATATAAACAGGCAAGCTAAAAACTATAAAGGTGCCCTTATCCTTGCAGTGAGGCTTCTGTGGGTATATCTGGGAACAGAGATAAGAAATTAAAGACTGTCCAGGAAACTTTCTTTGCAACACAGATGCTTAGCTGCTGCAAATCACATACAGTTCAACATAGGATCTGAATCTTGGGTTTGGCGAACACTACAGGAGGTGGGAGAGGGAACAGGTAGAAATATGGCATTCTACCACTTTGGTACGAAGTGTATGTTAGAAGACCCAGAAAGCTGCTCTGTCTTAAACCTAGATACCGATGGTTCCCAGCTGGCTGTTCTGGCAGCTGAGAATAGCCAACATGGACATATGTTCCAGTCATGCCTCTGTAAGTGTTTCCTATATAGCAGGTCTGGGGCTGAGTGGCCAGATCTATGCCTATAACATGGCCCTGAAATGTTATCAATAAAATAACCATGAAAGAGAGCAACTTGCTCTAATAGAAAACACAGCCTTCACTTGGACATTTCTTGAATTTTCAAAGGGTAAGAAAAGCACCTATGACGACAGTGACAACATAGCTTCATGTGAAAACATAGCTTCATGTTAAAGATAAAGAACCCCCCCTCCCCCAACACACACATTAGAATAATTTAAATTATATCCTTTGGTATATATGGTTGTGACTATTTTCTTCCACTATTTGATCTGAGGAAGTGGGTCTGGCCCACAAAAGCTCATCATCTAATAAACCATCTTGTTAGTCTTTAAAGTGCTACATAGTCCTGTATTTTGCATTAGAATCATATATCCTCCAAACTCCTCGACCCTCCCCCACGATTTTGTTTTCCTATTCTAATCAAGTTCTGTCTATCAAAGCACCAAATTAAGCTTGGGCTAGAATGCCACCTGTAGTGAAACAAGCAACAAATGTGTCAGGATGTCAAATCAAATTTTAAAGCACTAGCACAAAAATAGCAGTTGGGAACTCAGCTGATGTAAATCAACTTCAACGGAATTATACCGATGATGATACACAGATATACACTCAATCAGAATGTGGCCCAAAATGTTAAACAAAGAGGCTTGGTTTTGCAGTTAAAAAACTGTCCATAAACAGCAAGAGTTCTTGAGTTAAGTAGTTGCGCAACAGAGCATTTACGCTGGCATGTGCTTTTGCGCAATAGCATCCTTGCCAGTGTAGACACTCTCTTGCGCAAGAAAGCTCTGATGGCCATTTTAGCCATTGGGCTTTCTTGCACAAGAAATTCATGTTGCCTGTCTACATTGGCCTCTTGAGCAAGAACAGTTGCGCAAGAGGGCTTATTCCTGAGCAGGAGCATCATAGTTCTTGATCAAGAAGCACTGATTTCATACGTTAGAACGTCAGTGTTCTTGCGCAAGAACTCGTGGCCAGTGTAGACAGGCAGCAAGTTTTCGCGCAAAAGCACTTGCTTTTGCACAAAATCATTATGATTATTCTGCTACTTTCATGACTTGAATTGGGCTCCAACAAAAATCTCAAGTCAGTGGAGCACAGAACTGGGACACAGGAGACTTAGATTTTAGTCTTGGGTGTACACCACGGCTCAAAGTCACCTAGATGGGCAAACTATTTTACAGCTCAGTGCCTCAGTTTCCTCATCTGTGAAATGGGGCTCGTGATACAGCTTTCCTTAGTAAAACACTTTGAGATCTACTGATGAAAAGCATGATGTCAATATTATTAATTACTTATGGGGTTTTTTTTACTGAAATGCCACCATCCAAACATGGTGCTCAGTGCTGCAGCTTGGCCTCATCTCTGATTGTGACTCATTTATGGAGAGATACATGTTTAAAAAAGCTTATAGGGAGATATTTCTTTGCAGAACACCGGGGAAGGATCTTTACTTGTGCTGTCTTTGTCCTGTTGAAGCCTTGCATCCAGCAAGACAGGTTGATATGTACAGGATTCCATTATCTCCACAGACAGGGCCCCACTGTTTTGCGGTACACATGCTGCCAGTGCTGCAAACTGAAATTGAGGCACTTAATGGGGTTCCAATAGGGAGTCGTATGTAATGGATAAAGAAGTTATTACATGTCAACCTTGAGGCATCATTACATCCTTTCCTTGGAATAATGCCAAAATGAATATTGGCTAAATATGCTACTCTTCTTGGAACTTACCAGGCACCAGCACAGCGGGCAATTTTTAAAAAGGTCTCTCTTCAAAGGTGTGTGCAATCCCAATACCATTTCAACACTGCGATAGGTCATACAGCATTTATAAATCAGCCATTGTTTGACTGCAATGCATATTCTTTATTTGCAGTTTGTGCTCTGGGACCTTAACTAATTCTAGGCAAAGTCAACATACATTTTTCCATTGCCTTAAATGGGAGCTGAATTTGTGGAAAGCTTTTTGGACTAAATTATCTAGGTTTCAAATCAGCATAACTGTCAAGGCTGTTCCCCACTCTGGTACGATGAATGCTGAAATGGGGGCCTGCAAAAGCACCCCAAAGCCTGATCTCTACAGGCTCTGGTACAAAAACTTCCCCCCAAATCCTAATACTTGGACTTTGGAGAATAAAGAAACCACTGCCACCACCCAAGTATTCCAAAGAAACCAGGGAAGAGATCACTTGGGAAATCTCCTCCCTAAAAACCTCAGGGGTACCTCAAGCTCTTTCCCCCAAAGGGCTTGAAAAAGAAAAGAGAAAATACAAGCTGCAGTCTGTGGTAGCTGCCCCATAGTCAGAGGTATGCAGATATCCACTGACAAGATTTTCCAGGACACAGAAATGCAACAATACTACATTAATTAAAAAAAAGAAACAAACTTTTATTATCAAAACAATGCCATAGTTTTCCAGCATAGTGACTAGATGGAAAAGAGCCACCAATTAATCTAGATACTCAGAGGAATCTCCTAGGCTCAGGACTTAGTTACAAAAGAGAAGGAAAATCCACTTTGACAGCACAGACATCATTTCCGCATTCCCAAACCAGAAAAACAATAAAACCTGATGGATGATCTAACTTTACCCTACTTACACATTTTGAGGAGACTTTTCTTGGAAAGAGACAGGCCTTCCCATCTCCTTGTTACTTGGAAGAAGCTGCTCTGACTCAGACAAAGGAGGGAAAAGTTAAAAATTCCTTTGTCCCAGTTTGAAATCCCTATCTGCCTTACCATTGGCTGACCAGATACCTGGCTAGGTTAACCCCTTAGTACCTAGGCTGCTGGCCATCCCTCACGGTTATGACAATAACGCTCATGAAATCGCAAGCAAACATGATCATATTTTCAAGAAGTAGATGATAGTTCTTATTTGAAGTCATATGGCTATGAGTTCAGATTTCATATATCCTCATCTCTGCCATCCACTCTCTTTTTCACTTATAAAGCACTTTGCATAACTCAGAGGTATTTGTGAGACCTAACTTGGCAGATATTTTCTTTCCCATTAGACTTGTTCAGGGAAATTTGCAGGATCAGGGCCTGAAAGACAATACATCAGCTTATTAAACTCAAAAATCCATACTCTACATTTCTGGAAGATAGAACTCAACTCCGCTGTATGTTTTGGGTTGGCTTGGACAGTTACAATTCTGGATCCAAACTTCTTGCTCAGGGATACTTCTAGTTGGAACAGTAATTGTAATTTTCTCTGGCACATTCACCTGATGGCTGTGCATACTATTCCTGATATCAGTAGAGGACAGTGACATTTACTATCTGTGTAACAAAGAGCTTCCATAACCATCATAGGTTACTGTTAATCCTGTCGCCTTGGAGTTCTCATAGCCAAGTTCAAAGCACAAAAGAGTAAAGATGCTGTGAAGAAGTGGGGAGTTTTGGGGGGGGGGAGTTTCACAGAGGGTACCATGCAGAGGGGGCACTCAGTGCCCGGATGTTACTGGTTTAATGTGACAAGGGGAAGAGAGATTGTTGTTTCAGAGAACAGCCAGAACTGGAGCCCCGGTAGGGTTGCCAGATGGTTGAAACAAAAGTACTGAACATCCCCCCCCCCCCCCCCAAAAACAGGAAAAAATTCTGTTGAAGGGGGAAAAAAGGCAGGGGGAGACTGAAGTTGTTACTACATTTTAGGTGTCCAGTATCCTCTGAATTTTTTTACGGGACAGGAGCTGAAAATACCGGACTGTCCGGGTGAATACCGGACACCTGGCAACCCTAAGCCCCGGCATCTGGTGCACTAGTGACCCCCACCCAGCTCAGAGGACACAACGGGTTCTGGCCAGATGACAGCCAATGGGCTGCAGAAGGGAGACCCCGGTAACCAACCCAGCTGGTTCCAGCAGAGGGAGAACAGTGGATGGAGGAGGGGAGAGGCAGAGAAGAGAGGGGCCCCGGCAGCCCTGTTATCTGGAAAGAGGCAATAGACTGGGGAGGGGCTATTGCTGGGAAATATTGGAGGCTTTACTGGAAGACTGGGGGGCTGTTTGGGACAAAGAGCAGAGCAGGCAGAGCTCACCTAGCTGCAGTGCAGGGCTGAGGGCCAGGCTTAAGAGATCTGTTGCTGAGTTCAAGGCTCAATAAACCCTCCGGTTTTGTGCTGGCTGAGAGTTGCTCTGATCTGGAGAGCAGGGTTGCACTATTCCCTCTGGGAGTGGAGGCCTTGGGGGTCCAGAGGGAGTGAAACCCCCAAAGGGGCTCACGGTGGAGGCAGGTGTGCTAAAGACCCAGAGAGGCACAGTCCCTGAGGGGTGGACCCCCCCCCAGGTGAGAGTGGGCACCCCAAGAGAAGGTTGCTGCACTGGAGTGGACACCCTGAAAAAGGGCTGTCACACTGCCGCTGGAGTGGAGTGGGCTCCCCAAGAAGGGACTGCCGCACTGGAGAGAGAGTCCCGCCCACGGACAGACAGGCCAAGCGTGGGCATGACCTGTGAGCCGTGACAGGTGCAAAATGTGTGTGGGGGGGGGAAACCTATCAGTGCAAGTTTCATAGCTGCAATGATTCCTGATTTGTAGATTTTTGTTTAATTCTCCACTGAAAAGCCTGAAAGTTGCAGGTGGAAAAACAGTTACTCCTAAAATGGTAGCAATTAGTCACATATGCAATCAATATAGTATTTGAATAAAACAGACACAAAACCAAAATATGTGGTAAATGCAGAATTGAGCCCAAACGGTAGAATTCAGAATGTGATCTGGATTTTGAATACCCCAGAGCTAAGCGGGATTCAGTCTCAGGTTTTGGGTTGGCCCATGGTAATGGAAGGGGGCATTTTTAGTATTCTGATCTTTGTCGCTAATCAGTTTTTAATACCTCATAATATCTGAGTACCTCACAAAGAGCTCATCATAAAACTAAACCAGTAGATCCGTGTTCTTCCTTAATCTCCTAGCAACCCCAGTTTAGTTCATACAAGCTCAACATCACCAAAGCTCTAGGAATCCCCATATTAAGTATCATTTGAATATCAATCTGAAAAGTGTATTGTGAGATAAGGCATTATACCAAGTGTAAATTGTTTTTATCTTTTTAAACATTTTTTCTTAGTGGAAGAATGTATTTTTTCAATCAGCTTATTTCATGTAAGTGAAATATAAAATCAAGGAGCCCTATGACACCAATATAAGACAGCTCAGGTATGTGTACTCCTGGGATACTGAGCCACTTCTCTTGGGAGGCTAAGTTCTCTTAGGCAAGAAGCAGAAACACAAGTTATAAAATAGCTATTTTGTACATTGTTTTCCTGTCTACAATTGCTTCATTAACTAATAATTTACTAGTGCCCTGATTAGTTTTATATAGCTGTTGTTTATTGGCGCTCAGACTTGAAAGTTAAAATGCATTGTTTCTATGAGTCTTTTTGTGTTGATCCAAGTCTGTCTCACGAATGCAAATTACCACATGTTTATGGTAGGTTGTTGCTTAAAGAAAATCTTCCTGAGAGTTTTGCTGCTCCATTTTCACTCAACCCTTAAGCCAATAATGTTGGTAAAAGAAATTTCCTCAAGGTGCTTTAGGTCTATTTTAGACACAATGGCTGTGTCTAGACTGGCCAGTTTTTCCGGAAAATCAGCCGCTTTTCCGGAAAAACTTGCCAGCTGTCTACACTGGCCGCTTGAATTTCCACAAAAGCACTGACTTCCTACTGTAAGAAATCAGTGCTTCTTGCGAAAATACTATGCTGCTCCCGTTCAGGCAAAAGTCCTTTTGCGCAAAACTTTTGCACAAAAGGGCCAGTGTAGACAGCTCAGATTTGTTTTCCGCAAAAAAGCCCCGATCACGAAAATGGTGATCGGGGCTTTTTTGTGCAAAAGCACGTCTAGATTGGCACGGACGCTTTTCTGCAAAAAGTGCTTTTGCGGAAAAGCGTCTGTGCCAATCTAGACGCTCTTTTCCAAAAATGCTTTTAACAGAAAACTTTTCCGTTAAAAGCATTTCCAGAAAATCATGCCAGTGTGACGTAGCCAATGTCTTTCACAACGAGATTTAATTCATGTGCTGAAATTTAGCACGAGAAACTCTCACATCTCTTCAGCAAATGTAGCTACAGCTAATCAGAACACCAGAGAGAAGAGTCCTCCCACCTTAGAAGCTGCAGTGCATCTTCTAGAGTGCCCAGCTTGTCTCCTGGTGCTAGAAAATCATGTCTAGAATTTAGCACTGCTACAGAAAAGCCTAACAGAGCAAGTAACAATCAAATACAGACATATCAAATGATGCTCCTGGTGCAGATTTTCAACTCAGTTCCCCTTTTGCGTTGGCATAGGACATCTTTAATAAAGTGCTACAGCAGCACAACTGCATTGGTGTAGCTGCACAAATGTGGCTTTTTAAGTATGAACCTGCGCTAAATAAACCTGAATAAGGATCAGTATTATTCCTTGAGTTGCCTATGTCTTCTTCCTCCTCTGCCAATCCTCAAGCAGACTTACCTCATGCCTGTGCATCTGTTATAACCACTGCTTCCTAGAGAATCTGCCCCCGCTCCAGGACAGATACATTTGCATGAATTGAGGCTGCTTCGGCATTGGCAGAGGGAGGAGGAAGAAGCTTCAGGAAGCTCCTTATGAGGGAGCAATATTGAGGTCCTTATTCAGACCCAACTCATATTTGTTTAGTCTTTACGCAGACTAACTTGTATTAACCTGAGTGACTGCCTGATTAAGGACTGAGATAAACCAAAAGAGGATTTGGTCCTTGGATTCTAGTGTTTAACGTTATGCTTTGCACAGGGCCGGCCCAAGCTATTCATGTGCCCTGGGCGCATGCGCGACCTCACTCCCGCCTGGTCTGGCAGCCCCGCCTGGCGGCCCCTACAATGAACAGAACTGTCCTTTACTTTACGGAATCTGAATTCAGTGAAGATGAAAAGATCTAAAACTAAAAAAAAAAAGAGGTTTACAGGATCTTTCAAAAAAGTGCCCCGTTTTCGAAAGAACCGCGTCTATACTGTGGTTTCAATTTTGAAATAGCACTTTTTCAAAAGAGAGCCATTACATGATTATGCAAATGAAGCACAGGATATTTAAATCCCCACTTCTTTTGCACTTTCAAAGTGCTTCATTTACATTTCTCTGCTGACAGAGGGATGTAGTCTAGACATACCTAACTGACTTACATGCTAAACTACAGCATCTCTGACCAAATGACTGCTACCCATAAATGATGTAGCTCTTTCAATGAATTATGTGAGACTATAGAAAGCAGAGCTTTCTTCTATCTCAGTCATCCCAGTAAGAAATCCCCAAAGGCATTACCAGTGTTTCCCTGATCCCATGTAGAATTGCCCATTATAACATATATCCAGATATGTGAACCTGCTTCTTTTACGCAATATGTTAAAATAATGATTCAAGGCTCTTTTTTTGCTGTAGAGTATCCTATATATTTGTTTTATAACTATCTAGTGGGGTTCCCCAAAGCTCTGTCCTATTCAATTTATTTATAAATGATCTGGAGAAAGGGGTAAACAGTGAGGTGGCAAAATTTGCAGGTGATACTAAACTGCTCAAGATAGTTAAGATCAAAGCAGACTGAAGAGCTTCAAAGAGTTCTCACCAAACTAAGTGATTGGATAACAAAATGGCAAATGAAATTTGATGTTGATAAATATAAAGTAATGCACATTGGAAAAAATAATCCCAACTATACAATAT